AATTTATGTAAAGAAAATGTGACTTAAAAGGTTTTATGTAGATCGAAAAATTGTTAGCATGCTAAATCTTGCTTGAATAAACTTTTAGTTTATAAATTTATTGTTCTTTAGAGATAAGATTTAGAGAAAAGACTTATTAGCAATGCAAGTATTTGTTCTAAGATTTGTAAAAAAAATAGTTCTGGATTGTTTTTTTGTATATCAAAAAAATAGTGATATATTAGAACTTATTCATTAAGCTTTTGATTTTTATTTAGATAACAGCTAGTCTCATCTAATTGAGATAAGATTTAGCATATAGGTACCAAAAGGTAAGACTTAGTGATCTATGAAATCAGACAAGAATTAGTTTTAGAATTAATTCTAGTATATTATAAAATATTATATGCATTTTAGGCTTATAATGTTAGGTCTATCTCAAATCACATCACTTCATTTCTTAATTATTGATAGCCTTCTGGGAGGTAAACTGAATAGTATAAAATTATTATACATATCATTTGTAAGGATCGTAGACTCAAATATTTTATTACTTCATTTCTCAATATTATCATCTACTTCTAATATCAAACAGTATAGTATACTTTTTGATATATTAATTAGGATTAATTTTAGGCTAGAATGTCTAAATTAAATAGTGTAATTCTTAGTATCTGAATGCTAATTTCAAGTCAAATTTGATACTAACATCTTTAATAGTTAGATTTGAGCTAAATCATGTAAAAGGCTTGAATATAATAGTTGATTCATATAGCTAGAATTGATTCGTGAGTGTTCAGAAAACATTTTGTGTATTATTCAAAAATTTTATTTCAGAAGTCTCATTTTGTTTCTACTCTAATATACCTACAAATCTGGTTAACTGATTTGTTGATTAATGTTGATTCTACCTCATAGTATTAGAACATATATATGTAAATAAAGACTTAGATTAATAGCAATTTAGTCTTCCCTAATTTGTTTATAATAGATACAATCTTATGTTTCATCCTATAAGGATCCTTATGAAGCTTAAAAAAGTGATTAATTAGAATTTAGTAGATTAGATTAATAGTAATAATAGAGTGTATTATATATTGTAGCACTATCTAATTAAGCTATTATTAGGTTTAGAGGTTTCTGAGTTATTTGACAAAATGGGTATGATAGTCATTTTATTAGTTTACTATTTTGATAAATCTTATGATTTTATCTCATAAATTTTGTGATATTAGTTAGATAAAATATAAGAAGTGATATTTCAATATGATTTAAAGTGATCTCTTTATCCAAATTTAGTAGAATTTAAGCTGCTAAAAATATCTGTGTAAAAAACCTCTTAAGAAAATTAGGATATATCTTAGAAATAAATTCTAAGTAAGATAGTACAGTCTAAGAATAGTTGTAAGTCAAATAGTTATCTTATTGAGACCTAAGTATCTTGTTATTGAGATCTTAAGAGATTAGTCTTAGTATCAAGATTTGTCAATTAATTCTTTATATCAATTAACTTCTTTTCCACCTACATATTATTTGCAAAAAATATTAGTAATCATTGTTAAAAGATTTTAATACTAAATATACTTATCTAAAATAAGCACCTTTATAACAAAAAAAATGATGCTTATTTTAAAGGAATATGAGAGGTGATCAGTAGAAAAAGTGAAAATCTAAATTTTGGTTAAAATTTATATTATTGAACCACTTAGCTGATCTCAGACATATGCATAAATTTAGCTTAATAATAAAAATTAACAAAAATTTTGGATTTCCTTTTTCCGAAATTTCACCACCTTTTACTAATTGTTTTAATTGCATTACCATATCTTTTGCAGACATATGATCAACTTTATTCATATTTCCGCTAAAAAAAATCCTTCTAAGTAAGTCTTCACTATTGCTTTTATATGTTTTTCACTAACTCTTTGACCATAATTATATTTACTTCTAAACGCTCACATATTTTCTAATGAAAATGTATCACTTACGTCTACAATAATAAAATATTATATATAATTGATAATGTCAAATTGTAATATTTACATAATAATAAATAACAAAAATAAAAATACCTCTAGAATAAATTTAACTATTATTTGTTATTTCAATTGTGTTTTTATTCATATTACCTATAAAGTATTCACGAAATTATTATTATTTTTTTTTTGAATATAGGATATTTGTTAACTGTAATGGTACCTTTACTCTGAACTATGTGAAAATTCTATGCTAAGTTCAGCTTGGTATGAATGAAAGTATTAGGAGTTAGTTTATGTAAAGGTTCTTCAACTAATTTAAAACATCAGCTGATGAATAACGTGACCATATGCCTATATGTGATAAAATTTGAGCCTGAATATATTCAGCAAATAGACCTTCTATTGGCCATTCAAAATAGAATAATTTTGTAATACTAGATATAGTTTTTATAGGTACGTGATTACATTTTGGATCCAAATGAGCGATAGAAGTTCCACTCAAATTTTTAATTACCTTCTCAATTTCTCATTACCATCTAAATTATAGCTAACTCGTATATATTGCTTGATAGTATGAGCTATCTAAGAGAAATAGTTATTTATTAGCTAGTCTATTCTCAAGATTTCAAAATAATAATAATAAAAATTTAGTTTATGAATTAAATTAAGATTTACCTATGCATAATGAGAGTCAACGTTAGTTTTAGCCTTGTCAGATTCAAAAAAATACCATCCACGAACATCAATATTGTACTATTGATTCTAATTTGAAATAATGGTTATTAATTCTAGTTATAATAATGGTCACCATTATTAGAAAAAATTTTGATCCACTTTGGTTTTTGATTTAGTGTTTTAATAACTGCATCAAAAGATGATGTCGTAAATCAGGCATCTTGTTTAGTGTCTATAGACCAGTGATCAAAAGCTTGCATATCAAGTTATGTAGCATTACATCTCGTAAAAACTAAAATAGTATGGGTCGTACATTTAGGTAGGATTCTCACCTTGTAGTTATATACTAAAATTACACCATTATTATCAAGTTCTAAAAGTTTTACTTTAAATTGATTATTCAAATAGACTTTTCTTGCCTAGTGAGCTAAAAAATAATGAAGCTCATTTTGTGATTCTTCAATTATAGATTGAAGATTTTCTGGTAGTATTATATTTAATTGTTCGATAAGCATGAATAGCTGATCACATATAGTGCAACGAGTTTTGTATTCTTGAATGCATTTTCCGAATGCATATAGTAAGCAGTGGTTAATTGTATCCACATGTAGTATTGTTTTATCTTTATTTACAGTAAGTTTATTTTGAAGCCTCTTTTTAGGTGGTAAAGTAACTTTTCAAGATCATTCACTAATGTATTCTTTAATTAAAATTTTGTAATTTCTTTATAATAAATTTTTTTCAAAACAAAAATTATTTTAAAATTAATACCTGTAATTCCTGCTTTACTTTTGATTGCATCAGATTTATTAGTGTATAAAATACTTCATAGCAGTATTAATTACAAATATTACATAATCTATCCAAATCTTGCCCATATACATAATGACCACTTTCTAGGCGTATCATAAAGGATATTCTTTTTATTCTGTCAGGATAGATTGTCTCAATTATCTGTCAAAGGGCTTTGTTATTATCTTTTAAGTATAATAGTGGTAAATTTGTTTTTGGATCAACACGATAAGAACTTATATTGACATTATTTTTATCAGAAAAAAAGCTTTCAAATTCTCTATCTTTTATTTCAGATATATAACTTCATTTCACAGTAGGCTTGTTTTTCACAGGACATCCTGGACTATTTATATAGCTATGTTTTCTCGCAACACAAATTAAATCATTTGAAATTTAAAAAAAGTAAAAGGTAATGTATTTAAATTAGTATTATGCTTGAATGTAATAATGAAATTTTGAAATTAAATATTACTTGCAATTCACATTTAATTTCATTATATTCAAAATTCTCTGCAATTATTGATAGAATTCGCTGCTTTCCATCCAACCCACGCTTATTGATCTGAATCGCTTTGTCAAAACTTTTCCAAAACTGATTGGTAGTCACCTGTAACTGGTCAATATTTTTATTTTTAATCTCAGTTTTTGTATCTTGTTGATTATAAGGAATAACATTTAGCAAATTTGTAGTATACAAGTATGATATTATATTACGATCATTAGAAAAATTCAAAGAATATGTTCAAAATTTCAGCTAAGGTAAAAATAATATTTTATTAGATTCTTTATGTTTTTAAAAATGTAATCATTACATGATTTAGGAGCAAATAATTAACCTTAGATGCTTTTTTTTTATATGGTGTTATATTAGTGTAACTAACATTTTTCATCATTCTTCGTCAAGAACTCAATTCACGATCAGAAAATTAATAATTTAGTGGATATATTTGCTTAAGATAAGTAGTAAGCTTTATAATTCTTGTTTGTTGTTTTTTCCATTTATCAAAAAATTAATACCAGTTAATTACAGCGATGGCGATTTTCCGTTTTAAACTTTGCTCAAATGCTTGTGTCATTTTTTGAATATTATCTTACTCTATTATAATACAAATTGGTCATTCCACATAATTTTCTAATGCATCAATTGTATCCAGTGTTGGAATTGGACATTTTCCAATTTTCAATAATGGACTATTGGACTTTGGACCTAATGGAGATGTCCAGTCCAATTCCAATTCCAAATGGACTATGTTTTTATAATTTTGGTCAGTTTATATACTATAAATTCTGGCCAAATTTATAATGCTAACCCAAATTATAATTTAATAATTTTATAATACGCATTATATAAGATGATCGATTGTAAAGTATAAAATTTTTTTTTTAATCTTTAAAATATGCGCTGATAATTAGCCATAATTGGTTAAACAAATGATTAATCGTAAAATATAAAAAAAATTTTTTTATATTAATCTCTTTTTTTGCGATTATCTTTTAAAGAAATCAAAGAAAAGATAAAGGTGCTCATTTTTAATTTTAACCATAATTTTTAGTTTAATAATAAATAGTATAATGGGTCGTCAGCAACATTTCTTGACACCATATGTTATAGTTTTGCATGCAGCTAAAAAGGCAAATAAGAGCAACAAATATGCTGTATGCCGAGCTTGTATTATTATAATTGGAAAAAATGAAGCATACAAATTAAAGTTTGCAAATACTAAAAAAGAATGTGCATGACATATTAAAAGTTGTCAAAATTTTGCACAAAAATATAATTCACAGCAAATAGAAAAACTTCTCAATGATAGGCAAAAGATGGTGCAAAGTTAAAATCATCTAAAAAAAGATGTCATACAAAATCATCTTCATCTGATGAATCATCTGTTGATGACAATAATTCAATGCTTGAGCAAAATAAAAATAATAACTTGGAAGAAACATTATCAAGTTTGGATGAGATTACACTAGATAATTATATATTTCGTCCGTTAACAATTATTCAAGAACAAAACTTGAAAAACTTTTATTGGATGTAACTGTTTCATTTGGATTTGCATTCCGATGGATTGAAGATCCTACAGTCAAAAGTTTATTTTGTTGGCTAAATCCAATGATTACATTACCTTCTCGAAAAGTATTATCAGGACGTATTTTAAAAAATGCAACTGATAAAGTTTTAACAAAATTACTCGATAATGCTAAAAATGATTTATTTGGTGTAACTCTTGCTTTTGATGGGTGGAAAAATGTAGCACGACAACATATTTTTGGTATAGTTCTTATTACATCTACAGGTGAAATGATTATTTGGAAAGCAATCAATTGTGGTGGTAATTGGAGTACTTCCAATGAAATTATTCAAATTACACAAAAACTTTTTACTGAATTAGACCAAGAAAATATAATGGTTAATGGGCTAGTTACAGATTCAGCATCAGAAAATGCTTCTGCACGGTATATTATTTATATAATATATTTTTCGTTTTATTATTTATTAATTAATTAATTATTAAAATTATTAAAACATATTTTAATAGAAAACAGCTTCAATTACTTTATCGTGATAAACTATTTTTGCCTTGCTTTGCTCATCAAATGAATCTATGTATAGGTGATATCTTTAAGGAATCTAATTCTCTTACAAAAGTAGGTGAGCAAGCTGTTGCTATTGCTAGTTTTTTTAGTCGTGCAAAAGTGTGGATTGGAAAATTACGAGAAGAGCAAGCAGCAATATATAAAAATAAATATTACACATTAATTGTACCTAATGATACTCGTTGGAATTCACAATATTATTGTTTTGCAAGTTTATTACGATCAAAATCTGCATTAAAAGTAAGTATCAATTTTTCGATATAATTTTGTATTATTTTAAACTTAAAAATTAAAATTAAAATTAATTATTAGAATTTAGCAATGAAAATTGAGGAACAAGACGATGACGATCTTTATGACTTTCCCAAAGAACATTTTAATTGCATTTCTGATAGTAATTGGTGAAAAAAGCTTAAAGAATTGGAAATAATAATACTTCCCTATTGTGCTGCACTTAATCAACTTCAACGACATAATTCACAACTTCATGATGTTCTCCATTGCTTTGGTAATTTAGTTATAGTTTTGCGTTCATTAGATAATAATAATTTTAAAAATAAGATTTTAAAAAAACTTGAAAAAAGGTGGAATTATTGGGAACAGCCTCTTTTACTATTAGCATTTTTACTCCATCCAGGATATCGTACTGATAAATTTAATTCACAAATTGAAACTTTATCTTTTCCACATCTTGGTAAAATGGATTACTTACTATCATTGTGCTTGGTTTAATGAAAATCCAACAGTATTATTAGTTGAGTTAGAAGCTTATCGGAAAAAAAAATATCCTTACAATGATAGTACTGCACGACAATTTAATAATATTTTGCAATTTTGGAATTATGTTCGTGGTTATTCTAAAGAATTATACCGCGTAGCTGAACGTATTTTTTCAATTGCAATAACTACAGCATCTCTTGAAAGACTTTTTTCTACAATGGGATGGTTGCATTCAAAACGCCGAAATCGTTTAGCAGTA